ACAAGTATTCTCTGTCAAGGCCTTCAAAAAAATTATTGAATATCTTGGTAGTCATGAGATATGTTTCTACTACGCAACTTATTCTCGGGGGAATTGACATAAAATGGATGCAAATGTTTTCTTAAAGAAGTAAATGAGTTTTTCTCGAAACACGAAATTCATGTACCTGAGGTGAATTCTAAATGAATGGTTGGTCGTTGCCAATAAGAAACTATGGTTGAGCATCATTATCACTTTGATATTTTCAATAAGGCAATAGACTTTATATTGATGGAGTTAAGGACCTGATTTAATGATAAATAAGTGAAACTCCTTTCTTTGAGTGCTTCATTGGATCCCAAAAATTCATGTGTCATTCAATGTCGATGCTATTTGTACTCTTGCAAGGAGTTCTATCCCCAAGATTTTAGTAGTCAGGATATTCATGCTTTGGAATTCGAACTACAACACTATGCTCATGATGTGATTCATGATACAAAGTTTCAACTGAATTATGTGAGGAGTTGACTATGAGTAGAAGATCCGATTCATATGTTATGATGAGCAGATTGATTCGCCTTGTATTAATCTTACTGTTTCTACTGCAACACTAGAACGATCATTTTTTCCATGAAACTTCTAAAGACAACACTTTGCAACAAAATGGATGATAACCTTCTTGCTGATTGCATGATACGTTATATTGAAAAACATTTTACTCAGTATAGATGTACACTCTATTATTGACGAGTTTTTTTTGTTTCAAAGCCTCATCGAGAACAAATTTAGGGGAAAACTCTTGTATATATTTTTTTTGTTATTTTAATTTTTTCAATGTATTATCATTACAAGTGTTTCAGCCCACCCCAGCATGAAATCCTGGATCCGCCCCACTGGGAAGTCTGATCTGGTCTGATCAAATCTGGGACTAAAAACAGTACAAAAGAAAACATCCTAAATACATGACAAGTATTTTTAAAATGATCGACTTCCACCCAAATGCTTCTCGATTATCTCCCCTGGGTGTTTTTCATTAAAACCTACCAATAATGGTAGCTAAAAATTGATTAAATCGTTACACCCAAATGCTTCTTGATTATCTCCCCTAGGTATTTTCCATGAAAACCTACCGAAATTGGTAGCTAAAATTAAATTGACTAAATCCTTTTACCTTTCCTCCCAATAGATCAGTACACTATTGTTTTCTTGCTTTAGATGAAGTTATCCAAGCATAAGAAGTTTTACTTATTAAGAATATATGCTCCACCAATTCTATTTTGGAATGCTGCATCATTAGTCTTCAAGGGATAGTGGTGAGGTACTTAGCATACTTATATATCCATCAAAATGTTGATCGAGTTATTTGTATTTGAACCACTCACCCGGTCATCACTATTACCCGGCCACTCAAACATGATCCTTTATGATCATGCAAACTCATTCCTGCATTTTTTGTATGAATAAGAAAATGAATGAAGTAGTACGTATAGCTTCATTAGTTCATGCATTAGTACATTATTACTACATGATAATCACTACATCTATCAAAGTAATAATTGATTAATGAATTAAACTTGCTTGGTGACAATTAATGACAAAATGTACGTAGTATTTTATTGGCCGGCTTCCCTAGCTAATGTCGTCCACTCGTCTCATTAGAAGCATAACCCGGCCGCATGCCTAGAGAGGCCTTAGCTTTTTCGTGCGACACCTCAAATGCCCGAATTAGTACAACACGAAAAGGTGTACCCGTCAACATACTCGCCCATCTCAAGATCACCACAATCTATAGCACATGAGCCATCAACAACACATATGGCCTTAGCTTCCAGCAATGACCCGCGGATACACCTCGCTCACACACTTTTTCTTCGCAAATACTGCTGTGAATATTATCCTCCATGCAGGGCCGGTCCTGTCCAATTTTGGGCCTATGGGCGATGTACTATTTTGGCCTTATTTTCAAGACAAACAATAAATTATACTTCGTACTTACTTAAAGTAAAAATTACGGAGTTTAATAAAACTAGGAGAAATTACTCTAAATACGACTAAAAACGTTTGTACATTCCAAATGATGATTATCATGTTTTTATTCTCTAAATAGAAGTAATTACTGTCATATTTTGACTGTCATATTTTACACATGTAGTATTTTCCGAACGTAACAGTAATTACTCTTATTCAGAAAATAAATACATGACAGTCCTATTTTGAAATTTTAAAAAAAATTTACTCATATTTCAGGAATTCTCCCTACAACTATCTAATAAAGGTTATAAAATAAAGATGAAATTCACCTTCATATTATTTGAATTGCATATTAGGACAAAACTAACAACACACGTATCACAAAATTAAAGAACATTGTGATGTAAAATAATCAATAATTGATTTATAATCCATTTTTCCAATATCACATGTGCAATGTTTAAAATTGCTAATCCATTAAATTTTTTGAGACATGACATAATATATAATTGTGATGATGTTTAAGAATTGGGAGACACTGACAGCCCAAAGATAATAATATAAATTGGTCATTTTGTAATTAATCTTAAATGCTTAAAAGATGTGAAGAGACGTGAATTTATTGATTCAACAATAAATGTGTTGACTTACAACCAACTCTATTTAAAAATCAAAATTAAATTTATATTCTTTTTTAAAACTTGTCTAGCTCCGTTAAAAACTTTTTCTTATGTTTTAAAATTCTCCAATTCTCAACAAAAATTAATCATTAGACATAATTATTTTATTGAAATTATGAATAAAAAAAGAAAACTTTTCAGATTACATATAAAGAAAAAATTTGGGCCTAATTTTCTTTCTATTTTTTTCAGGCCTAGGGCGGTCGCCCCTGCTGCCCTCCCCCTAGGACCGGCCCTGCCTCCATGCCCCGCATCCGCCATTTCGTAGTTGCGCTGCTTCCAACGAAACACACTTTCTCCATCACAACGTTGCACAGCCACAACGAACTTCCATAATCCATAGTATGGCCACCCGTGGGTCTACTACCGACCACCCTCCAGTGGTTGCCATGAACCCGCCAAGCAACCCATTGCAGACGTCTCATTCCTACATATATATCAAGGGCAAATTTTAGTAATCCCGGCCTATTCATATTAGCAAATGAAATGAATAAAAGAAAGAATAGCCTTGACCTTCACTTTTCATTTCTTCTCCTAAGCTAAATTGGTTTGGTTGGTTGGTGCCTTGGTCAGCCGGTTTGTGCTAACGAACAGCAGTATATATATATATATTTATAGGAGAAAATATGCGGAAGTTGTTTAAGGAAGCTGACCAGCCATATACCCAACAAATGTTTATGGGAATCCAAAAGACATCCGGGACTCTGCAATAAATTAAAGCTCTCTCTGCGCATTGAAGCTAACACAGACTACGATATAAGTATATTAAATGCAATGTTTCTGTTTAATTTCTTTTATTTCCTCTACATTTTTTAATTAGTTTCCAGCAGGCCTGTTTCCATCGGATTGGGATCCTCTACCCGACTAGGAGGGTGCCTAGCGCATCGGACGGGAGGGGAGCGGCCAACACGGCCTCGAGATTGGCGAAAAAGTGGAGCCCAAGATCTCCGACCAGGGGCGGCCCTGGGGGGGGGGGCAGGTGGGGCGGGTGCCCTAGGCCCAAAAAAAATGAAAATTTTTTAGGCCCATAATTACTTCTTTATACGGAGTAGTATATTTGAGTAGGCTGAGTTTTAACCCAAAATTAATAATTTTGTACAAGTTCAGGAAGCCCCAAGAACGCAAAAGGTCCAAAATTGAAAAAAAGGAAGAACTAACGTGCAGTCCAATTAGTTAAATTTATAAATTTAACTAATTGATTAGCTATATTAAGTATTGAGCATAATAATGTCTTAGAAAAGCTTGATTATGACGCTATATTTGATGACATCGGCCTTAGCAAGTGTATTGTATCGGGGCGTTATTTATCATTAAATAATTTTTTATTCGGTTATTTTGAAAACATTATTCGACTATGTTTAATTTAACGAATTCAAGTATTTTCTTTATTCTAAAGGTATTTAAATATTATTATTTTGCATTTTTATTTAGGTAGAAAAGTGTTTTACATTTTTTTTTAAAATTAGGCCCATTTTTTTATTGTTCGCCTCTAGGCCTTCGAATATCCAGGGCCGCCCCTGTCTCCGACCGTTGAATTATCGATCGGACGACCGGGAGGAAGCAAGGCACTCTACCTTACTCTAAAGTAAGGTAGAGGCTCCGGATCCCCATCCATCTATCGTGTTCACACTTCCCGTCCAATTCCCTGCAGACTATTCCGTTTTAATATATAATATAGATATAGATGTATCTAATAATCAAATGTAACTAGTTCAATATTCAAGTAAAGAGTGACTTCCAGAAACTAGGCGTTACAGATCTTATACCTTGTGGCTGTATCTATGTTATGGAGTATACTTATAGCTGTTATTTCATACTTATATTTTTTTGTGAAAATAGTTTGGGTGTACTAGTTTTATATTTTTATCGTGATGATTTTTTCGCTCCTGGTTTTGTACGCTGGACTTGATTGTTTGGATTGAATATCTAGGAAGTAATATGTGATTGGTGCTTGGACATTTAGAGCCCATTTGGTGATCCATTTTTTAGCTTATCAACCAACTTTTTCACAACTCATGTAACTTTTGATTTTGTGCGTTGAGTTGAGTAATAACCAAAATAGTAAGGTTGAAGTTACATTTCTGATTGAATTGACTGAAATTATTCTAGAGAATAACTTTAGTTATTTTTGCATATAATTTTTTTATTTTATTTTATTTATAGAATATATTTTTAATATAGTTTTTTCATAACTTTCTTTAACCCTCTGTTAATTTTTCCTGGCTTCATTTACTTTAGTTAATTGGTAGGCTTTAGTTTGTTCTCTTGTAATTCCTTTTCATTGGAATGAAATGTTTATGCCCTTGAAATATTTTTCTGTATTGAAACTTATGCATATAAAAACTGTCATTGAACAAGTCTTTTCTGATTGTTGATAATATTTCTTGTTTGGAAAATTGAACAAATATTGCCCTTACAGTTAAAAGAAACGGTGGAGTAAATGTGAAACATTGAGCATCTGAAGATGAAGAAGCTGCGTGTTCCTTCTGTTGGCTCAATTTGGAAAAGAATCCAGAATGGCAACAGAGACTCTAGGGTTTTATTCTTCTCCACGGAAGCGAAGTCTCTTGTCTCTCTTTTTCCTTCACCGTCCCAGACAGGCGACAATCTGTACCATCGGATTATGGGTGCAGAGAAGCAAAAACTTTCAATCGCTCCCATAATGGATGAGTGGGTTAAGGAAGGTCGTCCGATCGAGCTTCAAATTCTTCGTGACATCATCAAACGGCTCCGTAAAAATAGGTTCTCCAAATACGCCCTCCAGGTTTTCTCAATTCCATCATTTCCATGCCTTTCTCTTTCAAATCCTCAATATTTACTCACCTGTGCTTATCTCCAACTCAACCGAAATGCTTCAGTTTTTTTCCAGTGTATGTAATGTCTAGTTGTACTCGGATCACGTCTGACATCTACTAGTCATGTTTAACATCGACTCACCGATGCATTCCACAACATTGTTTCACTCTTATTAGGTCTACTTCTAATATATAAATTCGAAATAACCTTCACTATGTGAGGACCATTTTGGGCTGAGTTCAGTCCAAATTAGTGCAATATCACAGTCTGATCTAATTATCGTTTGTTTTTTTTTTCTTGTGACTTTGGGGGTAGCCGGGTAGCCCGTCCTCACAGCGATCCTTTTAGGTTATGCTTAATTCAATATTTACTCAACTTCTGTTCTTTGTAGCTCTTCTGTTCTTTGTTGTGCCTTAACTGTCTCTTTTCATTGATCTACAGATTTTTGAATGGATTGATGAGTCAAAAAATCTTCAATTGTCTCCGGGAGATATAGCCATACGTTTGGATTTGATAGGGAAAACCTATGGTCTGGATGTGGCTGAGAAGTATTTCCACAACATTCCAATGAATTTGAGAACCAATAAGGTATACGGCGCTTTGCTAAACTGTTATGTCCACTTCAAAAACGTGGAAAAAGCGGAAGACGCCTTGCAGAAGATGAGGGACGAGTTTGGTTATGATCAGTGTTTGGCATTTACTCTTTTGATGAATCTTTACTCCAAGTTGGGGAAATTTGACAAATTGCACTTATTAGCACAACAAGTGGAAGAAATGGGGGTCATTGTAGACAAATACTTCCAATACACACGCTTAAATGCGTATGCAACCGCTCGTGATGTAACTGGAATGGAAAGTCTCGTGAAGTAGATGGAAGTAGATCATTGGATCGCCATTGATTCGTGTTATTATACGATACTAGCCAACGGTTACATAAGAGCCGGCGATTTCAAGAGGGCTCTAGAAGCCGTGAGGAATTTTGAAGACGCAACCACACGCAGGAGGGTCGAGATTGATTATAACATCCTACCTTCTCTCTACGCTAGTCTGGGAAGGAGAGCTGTCGTTTACCGCATATGGGAAGAATACAAAGAAGTAGGAAAATTGCAGACAGGTGGTGGATACTTTGGCTATGATAAGTGCCCTTGAAAAGCTCGGCGAACATGATGCCATGGAGAAGATAGTGGAAGAATGGGAATCTCATAATTCAATGACCTTTGACGTCCGAATCCCGAATTTCCTCATAAACAGCCACTGCAGGAGGGGTAATTTGGGAATGGCGGAAGCGGTTTTGGAGAAAGTTGTGGAGAGGATGGGGGCAAAGGTTGGTGGAGGGACGTGGGGCCGCATGGGGCGTGGGTATGCTGAAAACAAGGAAATGGATAAGGCAGTGGAGGCATTGTGGAAATCAGTCTTCGCAACTCGTCCGGGAGGGAAACTTAATATGCGACTGTTGGCTACTTGTGTGAAATATTTGGAATCTAAGGGAAAGTTTGAAAGAGCAGATGAAATTTTAAAGTCCATCAAGAGGCAAGGGTTGGCTAGAGTACGTTTCGATGAGATTTTAGAAGAGTATATTCGAAAGGTATAATAAGGAGGGGAGGGGGGTCGAGCTTAGTACTAAGATTTGAAACTTAACCTGACTATTGACTAGATTGCCAGGGAGAAGATGGAGAGAGCCACCTTAGCAAATCTCTGACCATAAGGGTTGCACAAAGTGCTTCCTGATTATGTCTTTTATGAGTTTATTATATTTCAGATAGTGATCAGCATCTTGTATTATCCTGTTATGGCCATTGACACTCATCTACTTCCATTTTGTTGTTGAACAAGTGCTTTAGTTAACTTGTTTGCACAACAATCTTGACCTCCTAGGCTCCTACGAAGCTACTTATGTAGGAGAAGATTAATGGTGGAATTCCTCCCTATGTATTTCCATGATCATTGTACAAGACGTGGATTGGGAGAGGAATCGGGTTGTTATATACTGCGTTATGCCCCCTCCATTATTTTGTGGATTTTTAATTAATAACTTCTTTTTTTACTCGCACCAGTCTGCATTCATCCTTATTTCAATTTTATCACCTTAAAAATGCAAAATGTCATTTACTATGCTCATTCTTTATGTTCATTCTAAAATGTTGCACATTTCAAACGTATCATATTACATTAGATTTAAATGTTGAAATTAATTGGAATTGAATACGGACATTTGATACTCATTTTGTAAGTTATGTATGCTCATGTGGTATTGCTTTATGTTCATTGTAAAATCTTTCACATTTCAAAAGTATAATACTATATTAGATTCACATATTGAAATTAATTGAAATTGATTATAAACATAATTTAAGAGTTTTTTATAAACGAAAAAAATAATAAAAAAGAAATTGAATTAGAAGATATGAAGCAGAGAAAAATAATTTATGTACTCATTGTTAGTCTCCTAATACTCAAAAGAACAAACTCGATGTTCATCAGGATTGTATAAATGCTCATTTAAATGAAACCGGGATTTTCACCAAAATTACAAATTTGTCACCGGCTGTACGGTGTCATCCGTACAGCCGACTGTATGGTATACGCTTCCGTTTTGTGGTATCAGGTGGAGAGGGTGGGTTGTACATATCTTGAATGATTTACTTAATGGTCGGCATGAGGAGCATGTTTCGATTGATTGTTGCCTCACATCATCTACTGTGCGTTGTTGGCTTTGGAAGATAGATCGATTGAAGCAGGCTTCTTCTGCGGCGCTTCTCTTATCTAGCGTTTGGTTTCGTGGCTTTGTTCTTTCCGTGAGACGTGAAGGGTAGCTACCCAATTTATTCGGATGTCAGATCCGTGTATTCATTGGGGCGTCGTTCGGCTGCTTTGGTTTGAAGGTTGCTGGTCCCTGTCAAGGAGTGATAGTAGGGTTGGTTTCGCGCTTTTGGCTTGTTGTTTTCGTGGATACGAAACAGGGGTTCAACGGTGGCCTACGGGCGAAAGAAGACGAAGAGATGTTGAATCGTCCCCCTCACGAACCGCCGCCAAGAATGAGTTGTGCGACTAGGGTTTGGACGACTATTTCTATTTCTGTTTTAGCTTTGTGTGCTTTTACTTCGAACTACATGTTGTTTTGTTTGTCCTGTACGTTTATTTTTGCCAAACTCTTGCATTAGGTTGGGATGATGAGGTGTTTACTCTAACCACGTTAAGCTCATTTAGACCCGTTACAGGATTAGCGAGTCATATTGCTTTTTCCTTGGTGATTGGCTCTAAATCTTGTTCGAGGATGAGTGGTTGAAAGTGATTCTTGTATTTCTTATTCCCTTACTGAATGCTTGATATCAATTTAAGCTGACTTGTTCCAAAAAAAATCTTAGTACAACTTAGTACAACTTAGTACGGTTGTACTAAGTTGTTGAAATTATGAATATATAAAATTTTTTTTAAAGAAAAAAAATCTTATCGTTACTTTTCATACGGTTAACTTAGTACAACTTCACCCACTTGTAAAGTAATTATGAATATATAAAATTTTAATTATTAACACTAATTAAAAAAATTAGGGAAGAATTTGCTTTATGGTCTGCCAAACACACAGTAGGCGTTGAAATATTCTAAATTAGACTGTAATGAGAAGATTGATCTGTCAAATAAGTAAAATAAATCAAATTATTTTGATCAAGAAAAATAGATTTACTAATTATGGAAGAAAGTCTAATAATTACATTTCTAACAACAATAAATTTGAAAAAATTAGCAACACTTGATAACCGGAGCAGGAGAAACAACATGAATAGCAGCCGAGTTGGAGCTACAAGTGCCCATGGCGCTAGTCCTCGCAAAAGAAACAATCGAAACCATAGCCGATTTCATCGCCCTCACGACCACTTTCCTCAGCTCCTCCGACCTTGTTTGGCCGAGGAGGAAGATTCAAGCTTGTAGCTTTGAAGGAAAACCAATCGCCGCCTCGCCCTTTCTCGCCTATAGCTCAAAGAGCTCGGCGCCACGGCGGTGCTACTGCGGCGGCTCCTCAGCTGATTCTTCGAAAAAGTTCTCCAGCTGCCGCCGCGCTCTTCCTCTGTTCTAATATGGATTTGATCAAACGGCTCGTAGCAATCAGCTCTTCTGCTAAAACGCAATGTGCTGCTTTTTAGTAGAGCCTCCATTATCTTAATTATCCTTGATGGTAGATGTCTCTCTCTCTGCAATCGATGGATTTCATATATATAGAGAGAGAGAGCCGGGGTTGGAGTAATAATAACTAAGAATGAAGTGGCTCAGAAAGTTCTTAAATTTAAACTTGGTATAAGTTTGACCATGGTGAAAGTTTTGGTTGACTTTCTTCTCACGCGGCGGGCGGGCATGACTGCGGGAGAAACTTCCTCTAGCAGTCTAGCCTACATACCCAACTTCAAATAATCGACGCACACCAAAAAGTTGAGGATGTGGCATTTAGTAGTAGTAGTGTGGACCCGGTTCTGATCAGGTCCTGATTCAGGTTCCGGACCAGCCGGTCCCGATGTCAAAGTAATGAAGACCGGGTCCAAACCAGATAAATCCCGTTTCTGTCCTGTTCTGATCCCCCGAGCCATCCAGTTCCTGTTTCATTCTATTTATTACTCCCTCCGTAACTTTAAAATCTTCTCACTTTCCTTTTTTGTCCGCAACAAAAAAATCTTCCCATTTTTAATTCTTCTCAATAATTCTGAAAATATTACACTATTACAACTATTTTTTTGGATGTATCCTACATTCCATCACCTTATTCCACTATCTTTCTATCATACCCCAATAATTCATATTCTCTTTCACTATTTTTAATCTACCTACTTTTCAAATGAGAAGATTTTAAAGTTACGGAGGGAGTATTTCATCTGCAATGCAAACAAAAGTGGCCGGTCCGGGACCTGAACCAGGACCATCCAATCTGATCCCCAAAAACGAGAACGAGGGCCAGGACCGGCCTTTACCCGATTCGGTCCGCCAGCACAGTACCGGATCCGGGTCCAATCCAGCACAATACCGGACCAGTTTGGTCCGGGACCGCCTTCTGGGTCCGCCCCTAGTTGGTAGAAACTCAACTGCGATAATTAATAAATTAACAAATCAACTTAATTGTGATGAGAAATATGCTAAAAATCTCATATTGAACATAACATATACGCTGCGCAGTACATCATATAATTGTTCGTAAGATATAATGAAGTATATTCATTGAAACAACCCTTATAAAGCGAGACCGCAAAATTTGCAACCACACCAACTTATTCCCCCGCAAGACAAATAAATGAAGAGAAAAGAATCAAATTTAGGAAAAGAAGATAAACAAAATTGCAATGACAGCAGCAGCAGCTCAAGTCTTTCTTAGGATACCAAGCCGGCCACGGAAGTCTTCTTCCATGAGGGGAATGCCATCTCGCAACTTCACCTTTGGTTCCCAACCGAGCAACTCCTTGGCCTTTGTGATGTCTGGTTTCCTCTGTCGGGGATCGTCCGGTGTGTTCTCCACCTTTATTATCTTCACCTCCTCATTTATCATCTGCTCCACCCCGCCCGCGCCCCACAAAAAAAATTTAGCATACATTCAAGTAATATATGAACCCTCTAAAGTAACCAAAAGTGACTAATCCTGCTTATCATAAAAAATAAGTGGCTTTTGACTTATTGAACTTTCCCTTGATGAAATCCCAGGGCCATACCGGCCGAGTAACCAAACCGACTCTATCGAAATGATCAAAAGTACAGATCTTTACCTCTTTCACAGTATCAGCCAGTTCAAGCATTGTGAATTCACCTAATCGAGTGAAGAAAACCTAGTTTAAGCAATGACGGTAAAGATTGATAAAGTGGAAGTAATGAGCTGATTAGCCAAGTAATAAGAATGTTGACCTGGATTCCCAATGTTAATAGGTCCGGTATGTTCTCCCTCCATAAGACGAATGAGCCCGTCAACCTTCACCAAGATGATGAGTTAAAAACAGGTTTTTTTACTTCTCTATTGTCTTGTTTAAGTGGTTGTTTGGTAGCTTTATATATCAGCCATTTTTCTACCAAACACTAAATCAATTGCATTGACGATAATGAAAAGATAGCGCAACATTACTTTTTGACTGAAATGAGGAGAATTGACAAAACATGAATGCCTTTTTTATAGATATTATATTCTTTAATTTATTTAATACTAGTTAGTTTTAGATGATTACCATGTCAGAAACATAGCAAAAGCTGCGAGTTTGTGTTCCGGGCAACTGGACAGTCAAAGGCTCGTCTCTAGGACGAGTTAATAGAAGTAAAATACAAATGTTAGATAAAGTGTGAACAAAACATAAACAAAGTTCCGATAGTAAGAGCCATAATAAAATTGGTTCCGGGAATATTACCGAATTGCCTGAGCAAGGAAATTACTAACAACACGTCCATCATCAATATTCATCCGTGGCCCATAAGTGTTGAAGATTCTAGCAATTCGGATTTCTGCCAAGGTAGGCCACAAAAAGAAAAACAGTCAAGAAAGCACGAGGTTATGTGGAAAACGGTAAGGAAAGGAAGAATAAATATGACAAGGAAAGTGCGTTTGTTTTCTCATTATGGTTTTGCCTTCGAATATTTATCAAAGGAAACTCAAATTTGATACTTTGTATAGTAGGAATATATAAAGTGAAGTAGAGCATCAATCTAAAATTAATTAATTGAGTAATGACCAATTCTTCCATTTTTTCTCTTATTTATTTTACTAATTGTTTAATAAATCTTACCAACTCTTTGTCAATCCAAGTGAAATTATTTTAAAAAATATTAATCTAAAAACAGTACCTATTCCTTCCCATAAAAAAACAGTACCTATTCCATGTTGCCTGTGATAATCAAACATCAAAGTCTCAGCAACTCTTTTTCCCTCATCATAGCAGCTCCTTACTCCTGAAAAGAAAATACATGACATTTAGCACATTAACATTCTCAAGATTGAACAAAACAGCCCGGGGAAAAAAGCTGGTTGGTTGTTACCAATTGGGTTAACATTGCCCCAATAGCTCTCATCTTGAGGATGCACAAGAGGATCCCCATAAACCTCAGAAGTTGAAGTGAGCAGAATCCTATAACATACTCTCAAGTGAGCAAATTTCCATTTCATATAACAAATATAATATTATGTAGAGAAATAATCAAAATCTAAACCTTGCACCAACTCTCTTTGCAAGTCCCAACATGTTAAGTGTCCCAATTACATTTGTCTTAATTGTCTGCAAGCATTAAATAGAATGAAAAAAAAAAAAAAAAATGTCAACCAATATATCACATATTGAGCTGATTCTTTAACCTAAACCATAAGTTTCCATTTGGATTCCATGACTGGCTTATTCTGCTTATTGGCAGAATTAGTCACTTGTCATTTTCAAGGATAAAGCAGATGTTGCCAAATGCTTTTCCTTTCAGGAAAATTCACCAAATTCAGCCATTCAAAAACTTGACCCTTACTAAAGGGATCTCATATTAATCTTTCGTTTAATCTCTAACATGAGTTTGACTCACATGATCCTAATCATAGAAACAAAAAAAAAAAAGCATAAAGAGTGTCACCAAATGCTAGCTTGATTTCTAACCTTCACAGGATTGTATTTGTAGAAAATTGGGGAAGCGGGACATGCAAGATGATAAATCCGGTCAACTTCAACCATCAATGGCTCGGTGACATCTGATATTAGAATATAAGCATAACAAAATACACACACACAACAACAACAACAACAACATAATAAAGAAAAATAAGTATCTGTGAAAAAACGTTTAGAAAATCAAAGTGACAAACCATGACGTATGAGCTCAAATCTTGGATGCCCGATCCATTGCTTGAGGTTATCTTTCGATCCTGTAAAATAGTTGTCTGCAACAATCACCTTAACAAAGAAGCAGCACATTAGAACATCCACCCCAAAACCATGTATTAGACTTTGTCTGTTAGCTGGTATTAGCTTAATACACACTTACTAAACCACTGAGTTAAGTAGAAAATTTCTTATGCTAAAGAAAACACAATAAAATCCTGCCAATCCATATCAATGTATTATAAAAATTCTATTCCAGATAAGCAATACTACTCAAACTTCTCAAATATTTTGGATACTTGTATATTTTTGCTATACTCTATAATATCTTGACAGTAAGTTATCTACATGATCAAATCACAAGTACTAAGGGAAATCACTTTTGCAAAGATTTTTTTAATTCTAATTTTGTTATAAAGTGAACTCCAAATATCTCAGAATATGTCCCTCGAGATTCGTACTGAAAGTGTGGGTTATATTTTTGGCTGCAATTGTTGTTAGAGAAAACTCTTCCTGTACAAACAGAGCACATTCAGACATTCAGTCTTTTCAGCCAAAAGCCTCTGACCAAATGGGCCCTTAATCTACATCTATAACTTCAACAAAATAGACAGAAAAGAAAAGCCACTAAAAGAGAATTTACCTCATTCTTCTCATTCTGCATTAGCCTGTCAACCAGGTGAGAACCAATGAAACCGGCACCACCAGTAACCAAAATCCTCATGTTTGCCTATCATTTCAAGTTTAGGCCAACAGCAACCTTGCTATGAGAAATTAAGGCATTTATATAATGAATATATGACATAGCTAGTAAGTAAATACTTCTTTACCTGGAAAAATTTAGCCTTTCTCAGTGGTGATGGTTCTGGAGGTTGCTTTACTGCAGTTGAGGCCATTTCTTTAAATACTCTTACCTAACCAGCACAACCACAACACCATGAATTCCGCATGAAATTTTCACCAAGTGTAAACATAGTAAAAAATGCAAAGTACTGATATTAACCCCTTAGAGAAAAGGGAAAACTTTTTATGACAATTCAAATGTCTACTGCTTGATAAATAAATAAATAAATAAATAAATACTTCAAAATGAGACTGGAAAAATAAATGAAAGGGAGTTCAATTTAAATCTACAGAATTTTAAACCTGAACTAACTATATGAATATACTTCTAAGAACTCTGTAGGAAAGGGGCTTAGAGAGAAGTAATTGCAGCAGAGTTGAAGCCTAGCGAAGGTATATATGTGTGTGTAATGAGACAAATAATAATCAACTCAAGGGATGAATGAAAACGTGATGGCTGACGAACCAAACGATTATGGGCAACTAACGACAGAAATTTAAAAAAAAAAAGAAGAAATCTTTGAACCCACGTAAAGGAGTAAAAAGGTGGTGAACACTGGACAGAGATTGAAAGTGAAGTGCGATCAAAGC